ATATTGTCCCAAGTCTTTACATTAGTCAACGTAATGAACTTTGCTTTATAAAAATATAGTCACGGAGGGTGAATAAGGAAGGAAAAGGAGGATGGAGATGAACTAATCATAGCAATGAGTTACAATTTTTTAGAAGAAAAAAAAGTAACTAAGGAACTAGATTACTTTTTGAAATTGAAAAAAAGATATGAGCTTTAAGAATATTGATGAAACTCAAAGAATGGTGGGCAATTACTCAATCGCTAGAAAAAAGGACCTTAGAGTTGTTAAGAGTGAATTTACTAGACTTAGATATAAATGTTATATTGGTTGCTCTACTAAGAAGTTGTAATGACTCTAAGGTGATTTTTGGAAAATTATCATTTTACCCCTCTCGATAGTTATCTCAAGTGTTGTTTGATCAACGTATGAAGTTGGTTTTGAAATTTGATTGTAAAGTTGTGATTTTTGAAAGTTTTAAAGTTTTGGAGAGTTAAAGTTGTAAAAAGTGGTTTTTGATAACAATCGGAGCTATGAGTCTCGAAATGGACTTCCGTCAGTTCTATTAGCTCTGTAATATGATAGTTGGACTAGACATATTGTTGGTTTGGGTCCTAAGGCTTTTGGTTTGATTTTGATCCATTAGACGAAATGCGGGAAAATTTAAGGCTAAAGTTACACTACTAATTCTAAAAAAAAAAGAGTTAAGCTAAAGTTTGACTTTAGTCAATGTTTGAGGTTAGAAAGGTTATTTTCTAGTTTTGATTATTTCACTAGGTCCAAATGGTGATATTTGGCCTAGTTGAAGGCTTGGTTCAGTTCTCGAAGCTTTTGGATAAGTTTTATGTTCTTATTTCAAAATTTGGAGATTCTTAAGTTAAAGTTGACTTTATTCAACATCGGGTTAAGGTGACCTTGGTTGGGTGATTTGATGATTCCATTGAGTCTTAACCAGTGTTATGAAAGGCGAAAAGCGCAAAAAATCTCTAAGGTTCGTAGGGGCTTTAAGCGCAAAGTGCAAATAAAGTGTGGGCTTTAATAAAAAAAAGCGCAAAGGGAGAAAAGAAAACAAATATATTTTTTTAGTCCGAGACTAATAATTATAAACATGAATGACAAATATATGACCAAAGAAATTGAATTTTTTTTATGATAAAGTGAAATATCAAAATTTTAGTGTCACTTCTTCATAAGAGGCTCATTGGCAAGGAAACGTTTGCCTTAGAACCTTGATGACGACACTGAAGCACACATAAAGCGAGGCAAAGTGCTCAATACGTTTCGAGCCTCGCTTCAGTGCTTAAGCGCGCTTAAGCAACCTTTGATAACATTGGTCTGAACTATCATTTTCAAGCTAGAAGCATATTTGGTTTGTGTTTGGGAGGTTCCAGATGAGTTATGTGCGAGTTTCTAAGCTTTTTGGGTGCCTTGACATTGTACCACCAATTTGTGTCAACTAAAAGGTTCGTTATTAGTTTTAAAGATCGAAAAATTATTTCAAAACTTCCGAAAGTTTGAGCATGAATTATAGGACTGATCTGCAAAGTTTGGTTCATTTTCGCTAAGTCGAGATTGAACTTTTATTGCGATATATGAAATAATTATTTATCGGGAAGAAATGATATTTGACTAGACAAATGAGTACGAAATTGGGTTTCGATTGAATGAGCAGATCCGTATTATTATTTAAGACATTTAGGAAAAAGAATTGGATCATTTCGCTATTGTATGAGAAATTTACGACATTTTTAGTGAAACAAAAGTTTTTGGCTTGCTGGTGCAACTACCGTTGTACATGTATTTAAAAATTTAGATTGTGTTCATTTGGTAATTTGAGCATATTGGGAGTTCTACAGCTCGAAATGGAGTGATTTTTGCGGCATTTTCTCAATTTAATATGGGGGTTAGTATCCAATCCTTATTTCGACATTTTCTCATGATTTCTTCATCTTGTTTTCTTTCCTTATCCGTGTAATTCTTGGAGGAAATTAGGGTTTTATCGATTTGGACTCAATTTTTTTTATGAAAAATGTATATTTAGATTCTTATGTTATGGGTAAACTGATTTTGGCATAAACTTGTTAATTCATCAATTATTTTCATCATGGTAATCATGTATAAGCTTGAGAATTTGGGTTTTTCCCTGATAAAATTAAAATTTGATAAATTGAGAATTGCAAGGTCAATTTTAACTCCATTTTCGATGAAATTTCATATTTGAACTTCCCTAAGCATGGGTAAGATATTTTTCATAAAAATATTCAGATTCGAATTGGGTTCGTACCCGAGTATTGGGAGTTTTTCTCATGAACTTGTGTTTTAATTAAACTAGTATACATACCCGCGCGTTGCACGGATACAATAATTTTTTATTATTTTAATTTCATAAAACATCAATAGTTTAAAATGTATTTACATATTTTCACCTTTTCTTTAATAATTCCTAATTACTTAAACGGTAATATCTAAGTAATTAAATGATCTATTATTTATTTCACTTTTGATAAAATAATTTCCAATTCTCTGAAACCTTATAATAATATAAGAAATCTCTTTTATACCATTTTAATTTTTAAATGTCTATACATTATATAGATTTTTGGATTCTAAAAGTAAAACACAGTTCATTTATTTTAAGTATAGTATATCAACATAATTTGTATATAAATAAACTTGTAATATAAGAAATCACTTTTGTACCATTTTATTTTTAAAATCTCTGTACATTTTATAGGTTTGTAAATTGTAAAAGTAGAAAACAGTCTTGTTTATTTTAAGTAAAGTATATCAACATAATTTATATAAATAAATTAAAATTTACGATTACTTCATATATACTCTAATCATTTGTCATTTTCAATTTTTTCTTATTTTAAATAATTAAATTAAAATTTCAATTTTTCAATTATATATTTTAGAATATTATTTTTAAAATGCCAACTTCATCAATCTTGTTTCTGAAATATTTTATTATATATTTTTCAATTGATATACGAGTACGATTACCTTATATTCAAACAAAATGTAGATTTTAATCATTAATAAGTTGAAATAATGAATAATTTTAAAATCAAGGATATTATTATAGTTGTGGTGCTGACACGTACGCCTTTTTACCTCTCATATTATATATAGATAGATTAGAGTTTTGAGCATGATTTCAACTCGTTTTTCAATGGAATTTTCACTATTGAGTTCCAAAATCTTTGGGTAATGTAATTTTATACAAATTTTCAGAATTATATTTCGTGTTCGGAAATGGACTTTTAGGGCCAATTTGACCCAATTCTCAAAATCATTGATATGAGTGTTGTTAGTTCCAAAATCTTATTGTGGTTACTTATTTGATAGATCACATTGATTTGGAATCCCAACAAAAGGAGAAGACTCAAATCTTGGAGTAATTGTTCGATTATTTGAGGCAAGTAGATTTCTCGATCCTTGTTAAATGTATAGAATCATGTATTTCTTTGTGGTATGTATTGAGGAGTAATAAGACTTGGTGATGAGTTGACTTATTGATATTGAATGATCTTAATGCTGAACAAAAAAGATAATAAAAGGCAACTTGATTATGGGTGTGTTTGGTATGAAGGAAGATGTTTTTCATGGAAAATGTTTTCCTGGAAAACAAGTAGATTTTTGACTTATTTTCTTATGTTTGGTCAGTGAGGAGAAAATATTTTTTGGAAAAGATTATTTTTAGTGTTTGATTTATAAATGAAAAATATTTGTGAGAAAATAACTTTTATTTTTACTAGAGAGTAGAAATAATTTTTGAAATTGAAATTGAAAATATTTTTTAAAAACAAACTTAAATTTTTTTGGGG